ATTATCACTGCTGCCTTCGGCTCCAGATCACGTGAGCACCACTTGTCAGGCAAACCAAAACCAAAACCAAAACCTCCGAAAAGCCTTGCTCTGAGTAATAGAAAGCTTCATCTAGAACCCAGTTTTAAGCTAGTGTAAGGAACTTGAAACTCTAGCACTGTTTGTACTTTGATGATTCTCTGAAGTTGTTCCCCTCTTTCCCACCCCTAAGCCTTCTTTACAACTCATACATTTCTATAGATTTTAACCAATTCAAACGTTTCCCTTTCAAAGACAATCAGGGCAGAGGTACAGTTCCCAGAAGCTGCAGCCTCCACCCACTCTGTGAAAAAAAAAAAAAAGAGAGATCATTGTCTCTGGAAGTTGTTCTCTGCACACGATAAACAAACACGCACTAGAGGTGGTGGGAGCTTTAGTACAGCTGGTTGGGCGCTTGTCTTGCGCATAGATGACCAGGCTTAGAATCTCAGCAACCAACCCATAGGGTCCCCCAAGCCCACCAGGAGTCAGCCCTGAGCACAAAGCCAGATGTCAGCCATGAGCACTGCCAGGTGTGCCCCCCCCAAAAAAAAATATATGCACCTGAGCTAAGTCAATAAATCTTAGAGCTCTGAGCACTGAAATCAGGAGCTACTGCATCTTCTTCATTGGCTCAGCCCAAGGGAAGCTCTGGGAGCCTGTGACCAAGAATGCAGGGACACCCCCATCCCTACCCCCATCAAGGTGGTGGCACTTCCTAAGGCAGGGCATGCCCTGTCCCAGAGGTGAAACTGCTGACAAGCAGCGTAGCCCCGCCCCAAGGTCAGGGCCTGCCTCCTCCACCCAGCCTGAGGGCAAAGGCACTTCCCCAGGTTCGGCCAAGAAAACTGACCCCTCATCACCTTTGCCCAAGCTGGGGCCTGAGGTAGGCAGTTCCAGAAGGGAGGGGCAAGTCTACCAGACCAGCACCCAGCAAGAAGGTCCCAAAGTCGAGGGGTCACTGGAGGACGGCGTCCCCCATTTCAACCCCCACCACTGCTTACCCCAAGAGATCAGAGACATAGAAGGAGCGAGAGGAACCCACCACAAGGAAGGGCTACAGTAGGGTGGAGTGTGCAGAAGTTCAAGGCTCAGGGTACCACCCCTAGCCCTGCAAGCACAGTCAGTAGAGACCCTAGCACTGAGCCAGGAGTAGGCCCTGAGCACAGCTGCAGGTGGCCCCTCCAAAACCCACACAAGTAAAATGGGGTGTAGGATGGTGAGTTGTTGAGAGATTAGGAGCTGGGTGAGTGCAGGAAAGAGAAAGAGAGAGAGAGAGAGAGAGAGAGAGAGAGAGAGAGAGAGAGAGAGAGAGAGAGAGAGAACTAAGGAGACATCTAGGTGGGAAAAAAAAGTTCAGTACACAAGGTTCAACCTGTAAGAAAATGCGAGTCATCTCTGATTACTAAGCACAAAGCCAGGAGTCAGACCAGCCCGGACAAGGGCTCAATGGCTCCAAGGTGAAATAAAGCAGTCTTCACACTTTCCACTAAGGTTACTTTTTTGGATCATTTTTAGCTGATTATTCATAATAAGGAATACAAATAAATTATTCAGGACCTGCTTTGGGGGCAGGTTTGGGTGGCGGTGGGAAAATTCAAAATAATGATGGTGGGAAGGTGTGGTGGTGGGATTGGTGCTGGAATATTGAATGTAATAAATTATTGTGAATGACTTTAGAAAAATAAAAGTAAGTAAAATGATTTTAAAAAAGCATTAAAAAAGAGACATCTAGGTAAAAATATATACATATTTGCACGCAGCTGGTCTGAGTTCAATCCCCAGCACCCCGTACGGTCCCACCACTGGGTATAGACCAAAAATAAAAAGTATATTACATATATATAAATTTATATGCTGGAGCAACAGCACAGCGGTAGGGCGTTTGCCTTGCACGCAGCTGACCCGGTAGACCTCAGTTCGATTCCTCCACCCCTCTCAGAGAGCTTGGCAAGCTACCGAGAGTATCTCACCTGCACGACAAAGCCTGGCAAGCTACCCGTGACGTATTCAATAGGCCAAACACAGTAACAAGTCATCTCACGATGGAGACGTTACTGGACCCGCTCCAGCAAATCGATGAACAACGGGAAGACATTCATAGTCACAGTCTGTCCACTGAGCTGGGTGGTTCGTGCCACTGCCCAAGGAGGCCACCACGGCTTCCCTGGGAGTACTCTGGATCCAGGCACACCCCGAGTCTGTGCAATCTCCACACCCTCTGTCTTGTTCTTAAGGCAAAAGTCAAAGAATGAGAACCGGAGAGGAAAGTACATTGGGAGCGGGAGAGCAGGGGGTGTTAACCTCAACCACCGTATGCACGCGAAGGAACTCGAAGGAATCTTGGACAGTGATGAGACACTTCGGAATAGGGATGGATGGCAGGGTGACACCCAGGGGTGCTCGGGGGCTATTTCTGAATCTGTGTTTCAGGAGTGACCCCTGGCAGTCCGTGGGGAATCATATATGGTGCTGGGGATCGTATGTGGTGCTGGGGGGGGGATCTATTCAGGATCGGCAACTTGTAAGGCAATTATCTTCACTCCCATACTATCACTACCAAACTATCTCTAAAGCCAAGGAAAATATATTTTTACCTGGAATTCTGTGTTCAATCTAACTTGATCGCATCTGAGACCAGAATACAGAATAAGCTGAATGAAAACCTCCAGCTCAGAAAATAGTGCTCCTGCCTGAGAGAGCCCAAAATGGGCTGTGGGTTCCAGGAGAACAACTGTGTATTTGGTGAAGTAAGTTGGAAGGCCCTGGGGGCTGAGGGAGTCCATTCTCAGGGAGAGAACTACTACTATGCATACAAATTTAATTCAAAAATTTGATATTTTTTTCTTAAGTGGCTAAGTGAACATATTTTATTTGTTTATTTTTAACTTTGTTATTGAATCACTGTAATAGATCCTTACAAAGCCGTTCATGATTGAATTTGAGTCACAGTCATACAGTGTTCCAACACCCATCCCTCTACCAATGTACATTTCCCAACACCAGTGTCCCACCCAGTTTCCTTCCCATCACCCACCACCTCCGACCCCTGCCTTCTCTCTCTCTGTCTCTGTCTATCTCTGTCTGTCTCTGTCTCTGTCTCTGTCTCTCTCTGTCTCTGTCTCTCTCTCTCTCTCTCTCTCTCTCTCTCTCTCCCCCCCCCCTTCCCCCACCTTTTGGACACTGTGGTTTGCAATATTGATACTGAAAGATTATCAAGGAAATCCGTTTACCTGCTTTTTACCCTCAGATCTTGTCCAGGGTGAACATTCCCAGCTATTACTGTCATACTGGCCCCTTCTCTTGATGAAGTTTTGAGGTTTATACTAAGTACAAGGAAAACCCAAGCAAAAGAAACTTAAAGGTAATTATTATCTCTAGGAAAGAAAAAAAAGTTCTGCAGGATAGGAAAGAATTTTATATGACATTCAGCTAAGGGACTTATTTACATCATTACAACACAAAAAAAATGCAGAGTATTGATGAGAACCCAGTTAGAGCCAATTTGGAATTAAAGAAAGACTCTTCTGTGGGTCCAAGCTTACCTTTGGAGGAAAAGGGGCTTGTAGGAGCATGTTTTTCATTACAAACTAATAACCATCCAAAATAGAAATTGGTTCCCATCTCCCAGAGGAAAAAGGAAGCTCAAAGAGGCTGAGAATTTGCTCGGTGATCCCAGAACTCTGCTCTTCCTGAGATCCCATCGTCTCTTTCCATTCTGAGATCTCATCATGTCTTTCCAGGCTTTGAGTTTGAAAGAGCTACAAAGGGAAAACTGGTGGTTTCAATAACTTCTCTTCTGCAAGGCGGGGTGGGGGTAGGGAGCTAGAAAGTGGGGGGCAAGGGGGAAATAGAAGGGATTGGAAAAAGAAACCCGACTGATTCAACAATATTATTACTAGGTAGCAGCCACTTGTTTAAAGGACCACAAAGGAAAAACTGTGACAGTTCCAGCAACTTCTCTTTTGAGTGGGAGACAAGCGCCCTCCCTCTTAAGAAAATCTAGATTGATTCAATACTGTTACTGTTCAACCAAGTTGAATCCCAAATCAATTTCCAGCTAGCATGTGACCAGAGAGAGCGATTGAAAAGATCTGACTGGGATGTCGCTGTGATTGATGATAAAAAATAATGGTGGGATTGGTGTTGAAATATTACACGCCTAAAACCCAACTGTCAATCATTTTGTAAATCACAGTTCTTTAATTAAAAATAATAATAAAAATAATAATAAAACTTGTAAAAGCTCCAGTCTGTTCTTATCTGGACATAAATTTTTGAAATATATTTTTATTTTGAAATAAATTCCAGACCCTCTAGCTGGGAGTCAGACTCCCCCAGGAAGCATGCTAAGAAAACTTTTTGTGTGCAGGAAAATAAATAAATAAATAAATAAAGCCCTTCCTCGACAAGGCCAGTCTCTGAAGAGGTGGAAACAGATAAGAATCAATGGCCCTGGGGCTGGAGCGATAGCATAGCGAGTAGGGCGTTTGCTTTGCACGCACACGCGGCTGACCCAGGTTCGATTCCCAGCATCCCATATGGTCCCCCAGCACCGCCAGTAGTGATTCCTGAGTGCAAAGCCAGGAAGGAGTAACCCCTGAGCATCGCCGGGTGTGACCCAAAAAGCAAAAAAAAAAAAAAGCCCCCCCCCCCCCCCCGACCGGAATCGCCCCTTGCATTCAATCACTGGGTGCTGCCACAGCGTCTTGGCCAGTGTCCTTTTCCCGCAGTTGCTGGGGACAGGACTCAGGACGCTGGCCCGGCGCGTGGGGTCACTCGCGGCGCTGGACCCCGGTGCGGCCCCAAGTCTACCGCGCGCGGTCCGGTTGAGCTGCAAGGTCCTCTGGGCGCCTCCGTTCCGAGAAGCCTTGGGGCCCTCAGGGAAGTTAAGAAATGAAAGCGAAATCAGCTGACAGTGACATCAGTCCGCAGAAATGTACCAAAGTTCATAGTTGCAAAGCAGGTCCCAGCCCCCCCGCGCGCCCGCATCCCGCTGTCGCATCTCCCGAGAGCCCCGACACCCGGACCGGAGGGAAGCGGCGCCCCCCAAGCCCATTTCCCTCCGCCCGCCCGTCTATGCGTCTGGCTGTGGCTTCTGCCGCTTCGCTCTGTAAGTACCTGCCCTGCCTGCACCGCCAACCTGTTCTGCAATTTTATTCTGACTCCTCGCAGAGACAACCCCCAGCCCTCCTCCCCCACCCCATCCCACCTTCCCAGGGAATGACCGGTGCTCCGGGGTCCAGGGCAGCGCTCTCCCCAGCCCCACCTCCTCATGTGAGTGTACCACTCTCCAGCCTTGGCCCCTGGGGTCCTTAGGCACCCCCCCCCCAACTCTGCAAATGGGGCTGGTAAAGTCAGGATGACTAGTTAGAGACCCATGCAAGAGGGCACCGTGGGGGCTTGGTCCCCCCTCTGCACCCACGCATGCAGTGGTTGGCAGGAGCTGTTTATCAGAAGTGAGCAAGAGCAAAGGCTGTACTCAGCGTAGCCGGCTGTTACTCAAAGGTAGTTGTGTAAACACTGCAACTCCTCAAATCACGCTGTGATGCAGATGTGGAAAGAGCCCTAGACTCTGTAGTCTAGCGTCCAGGGCTAAGACTTCCTTGGGGGGCGGATAGGGCACCTGGAGCGAAAGCACAGCGAGTAGAATGTTTACCTTGCACGCGCCGCCGGACCAGGGTTTGATTCCCAGCATCCCATATGGTCCCCTGAGTGTAAAGTGCAGAGCCAGGAATGACCCCTGTGCATCGCCGGGTGTGACCCCCTTCCCCCCCAAAAAAGGCTTCCATGAGCTTCCCACACCTCCAGGGAAATTGATAGTGAAAGTTTCATTCTGTTGATGTAAATAGCATGCAAGCTGTTTTTGTTTTTGTTTTTTTTTAAAAAAAAGATTATTTTTTTTTTAAAGTGCTGATGATTTCCCTAGTAGCTTCCTTTGTGCTGCGTCCCTTCTAAAAAGTTTCACAAGCATTTCTGGGAGAACTTTCCTCCTTTCCTCAAGACAACGGAAGCGCAGTGTTTAGTATCTCCTACCCCCCTCCACCCCACCCCACCCCAGCCCACTCTGAGAACCAGTTCAGAGGAAATTTTCCTTTCGCTTTTGTACATCTTGTGTTTTGTCTATGTTTTTTCCTGTTTTTTATTTTCCTGTTCTTGTAGTTTATTTTATGAATTTCACTTTTTTTTTCTTTTTTATAAACGGAGCACGTAATTCTGGAGTCATTTTAATACAAAAAAGAAAACTCTTGCTCAATGTCATCATTCAATACTCCAGGTAGATGGATTCTTACTGCCAGGTGTGGGTTTTAGAGCCCATTTTCCAAAGTTTGCAGAACTGCAATTCAATCCTAGCGTGGAACATTCTAGCTGTTTCCCATTTCATTTGTTGTTATTGTTGTTGTTGTTTGTTTTAAGTTAAAGCTGTAATGAACAGGATGAAAAGATCACTGGGTACATTTCTGACTGCTGACTTAAGCATAGCTAGTAGACCGTAAAAGGAAGAGTGTTTGGTTTGGGTTTTTTGTTTGTTTGGTTTGTTGGTTGGTTGGTTGGTTGGTTGGTTGGTTCATTCGTTCGTTTTGGCTTTTTGCTCACACCTGGCAATGCTTAGTACAGTTTTTTGCTCACACCTGGCTCTGCATTCAGGAATCATTCCTGGCATGGTGCTCAGGGAACTATATGGGATGCCAAGCCTCAAACCCAGGTTAGCCGCGTGCAAGGCAAACGCCCTACTCACTGGACTATCACTCTGGCCCAACAGAGGAGTGTTTTGATGCAGTTTTAATATTTATTGCCAAATGGCCCCAAGAAAAGTGTTAAAATTTTTCACATTCGATATCAAGAATACCAGATTTACTGTGCTTGCCTATCAGGTGTTTTATTTGCAGTTTGATAGGAAAACTCATGAGTTATTATTTGGAATGTGTTTGATTGTATTACGAAACCCTTAAAGTGTTTGTTAATATGATACAGTGATTTATAAGCGACGCGGGCATGACAATGGATATAGATATGAACGCTATGGACATGTCTACACAGAAATGATATTGAGGCTAAGATAAGGATAAGCATAGAGATTTATGGATATGGATTTGGATGTGGATATACAGCTATATGTATATAAATAAGGATATGGATAGGAATAAAGGTAGAGATGCTATGAATTTGAACATAGATGTCAAGTCCTAGAGATCTCATCCTGGAGACAGGCAGCTGTGGGTATCACTGTGGCCACTCCGGGTCTTTGTTCCTATTTCTGCACAGATCTCCCGAAACCTTCAGAATTTTCCCTCAGAACTAATAGGGATGAAGTTGCCTTCTTGGTTTCTAGGAAGCCCTTTTCATCCGTATCTGCTCTTGTGGTTACACGCCGCTCTGGGAAAGCCCCAAGGATAGGGCTGGTGCTCAGAAAGGTACTGCCTGACTAGGGGCTGGAACACTTACTGCAGCCCCGGGCGCAGGAGGAGCTGGGTTGAAGGCGAATTCAGTTTCCATCGCCACTGTGCAGGCTTTAGCCAAGGGCCTTCACCCAAAACCCCTCCAGAGCCCTTCTCCCAGGCCCAGGAAGCTGACAGAAAGGTCAATCAGAGCTGACGGTCTTGCAGGCTGCTGCAGTCACAGGGCAAGTTTCCCTGAGGGAAACTTTACTCTTCGGGGAAAGTTTCTTCCTGCGGGTGGGGGTTCTTATCTGCGTCGCTCCTCTTGTGAAATGCCTCTTCAAGTCTCGCCAGTCCGTTTTTTAGTTTGTCTTACATGGGTGCATGATTGTTTTAGATAGTAGGTCTCTGAATCACTTCACCTGTGTGTGGGTGTTGGCTGTGATCTTGCTCTTCTGTTGTGTTCTCAAGTTGTTTTTGCTGCAACCAAGTGTGCATTTCTAAAGTGTTCAGCCCATGCAGACTATTCATTCTTGGTGGTTTCAATTTGTTCCTGACAGCTCCCGGTGTGCTTTCTCATTCATACTGCACATACAAACACGGCCCTAAGTGTTTGACCCATCCATGACACTTCACTCACGGACCCATGTGAAATGTTTCTGCAGAGTCCTAAGAAGATATAAAATGAAGCATTTTGCTTTTAGTCCAATATCCCTGCCATTGTTTCCCTAACCAGCCCCCCAATCCCCACCCCAGCCCCCACCAGAATCTACCATGGAGTTGAAGACCTTGATGCTTTCCATGACTTCAGCCTGCCTTGGGGTGCTCGCGGTCCAAGTTGCATTCACAAAGACAGCAAATAGTTTGGCAAATCTAGTCTTCAAGTACATGGATGGTGTGTTTTCACTAGCAGCTAAGACCTGGCAAGACTCAGGCTGGAGAAAAGGCGCAGGGGGTAAGAAACCTGCCTTGCGTGTCCAGGATTGATGCTGGCACTGCACATGATCCCCTGAACACCAGCAGGAGTGATCCCTGAGCACTGAACCAGAAATAAGCCCTTGAGAACAACCAGGTGTGCCCTCTATCCAGCAACCTCCCCCTGCCACCCCCCAAAAAAAAGACTTGATTTGGTGACCCTCAGAATTCTCAGCATTTTCAACCCTGTCCATGAGAGAAACAGTACAGTAACAATTTCCCTCCTTTATTTCAGGGCAAGTACCCAGAGGGTGAGGGCGTGGGGAACAGACCCGCACACAGTGTGAGCAGTTCTATAGAGCAGAGTTTCTCAACATTTCTCTGATCCTGGTGACCCTTTTCATCTTTTTCCCTTCCTGCCTATTCCCTTCCTCCACAACTGCCCATCTGCTGGTTTGCCTCCTGGTCTTGTGCCCTGGCCCCTATGAACATAAATTTCCTCCTTTCCTTCTTTCTTTCCTCCTTTCCTTCTTTCTTTCCTTCTTCCTTCCTTCCTTCCTTTCTCTTTCTTTCTTTCTCTTTTTCTTTTTTCTTTCTTTTCTTTTCTTTTTCTTCTTTTTTTTTGGGGGGGGCACACCCATCAGGGTGCTTAAGCCTTTCTTCCGGCTCTGTGCTCAGGGATCACTCCTGGCGGACTTTGGGGGTCCATTTTGGGTGCCAACGATCAAACCCAGGTTGGCTGCATGTAAGGCAAACAACCTACCCACTATACTATCTCTCCAGACCCAGGATGTGACTTTCATCTGCAGAATGTGGGGGTGGGGTGGGTGGAGGGGCCTTAAAGACAGTTATGATTGGCCTCCTCTTTTCACCGAGGATCAAAAATGTAAATGGTGTACCACCCCCTTATCAGAAAAAAACTCAGTCCCTCCCCCCAGTATAACTCCTTATTTTTATTATTTGCAAGTTTATTTATTGCAAAATTTTTGCCAAGGGACTACTGACAACCTAAATACCTAACAAGGAATAACCAAATAAATGACAGCACACTAATAGAATACCACACAGCTATTCACAGGAGTTAAAGTCTTAGTTCTTGGTACCTTTTATAAAATAATCCTTAAGAGTTGTTTAAGTGTGTTGGGGCTAGAGCGATAGCACAGTGGGTAGGGCATTTGCCTTGCATGCGGCCAACCCGGATTCAATTCCCAGCATCCCATATGGTCCCCCAAGCACCGCCAGAGTAATTCCTGAGTGCAGAGTCAGGAGTAACCCCTGAGCATCATCAGGGGTGACCCAAAAAGCAAAAGAAAAAAAGAGAGAGAGAGTTTTCAGTGTGTCAAGTGTGTGTCTATCACACATGCAGAAAATAAGAAAGATTTGTACCACATGATTCACATAAGCATGCATCATAAGCTCCAAGGACTCCAGGCACAGACACATGGAAACAAAGCCACTTTGCAGAGAAACAGCACAGTGGCTGGGATGTTTGTCTTGCACACAGCTGACCTCTCTCTCTCTCTCTCTCTCTCTCTCTCTCTCTCTCTCTCTCTCTCTCTCTCTGTGTAGATAGATAGATAGATAGATAGATAGATAGGTAGAAAGATATGTGGACTGGAAAGATATCTAATGTGTAGGACACTTTGCCTTGTATACTTGTGACCCCAGTTCCACATATGGTCCCCAAACCCTGCCAGAAGTGACCCCTGAGCACAGAGCCACAAATAAGCTCTGAGCATTACTGTGTGTTGCTCCCTTCTATCTGTAGGAGGAAGAGGAGTTGTTAGAGACCTCTAAGGCGGCAGAAGATGGGGGTCAG